CTGCCGCGTGGTCCTCGGTCCGGCTGATTACACTAAAGTGACCCAGGAGTGCAGGAGAGCGAGTTTGTGAGAGCTAGCTTGCGTGTGTACCAAGACTTGCGAGAGCTAACGTGCAACATGCAGAGCGCAACGTGCAGAAAAAGCGCAACGTGCTGCGAGCGCTGCATTATATACCACTAGCAACACACGCACTGGCTGCAGCGGCGCGGAGCCATCTCGCTGGGTACCAGCCCTAGACTGGCACTAGGCCAATGTTTCGTTACAATATCCTGGTGGTTATTCTTCTTAAACCCTTGCGAAATATTCTGGAAATTGAGGACATTTCACTGTGCTAAACATTGCAGGTTGTTACCACCATGCCTTAGAGGCAGACTTTATGTTAATTCATAATTTAATGAAGAAAATTGGCAAAAATGCTTCGAGTCATCCGTTGCTTTTTGAGAGGCTCTCTAAAGTAAGCGTTTAAAATTTCTTGAGGTGTTATAAATATCACAGATCCATGCACAGCCATCTTGCAGCCCATCTGGTGCGGGGAGGTACAGTATGCTTGGACGATGGTTAAGGGCTCTGACCTTATTTTGTTGAGAAATGTTTATTGGATGGAGATATTTGAACATTTATATCTTGGGCCAACACTTGCACGAGCGCGTCGCTCGTGTGCACTGAACGTAAATGGGGGGGGGTAGGGCATTTAGTAATTCAAAATGCTTTATTGCTTCCAAAGCTGTAAGGGTTGCGTTGCACTTATAAAATTACTTATTTTGTTCTCTGTTTTAAGTACTATAAATTAATACATTTCGATTGTTGAAAGTTCAAATGTGGCTTTCAACTTCCGATAACTTCTGCTCGGCATCTGGGAAATGAAAGACAGAACTGTAACAAGTCTACCCCCCCTAAATATGGAAAGCCACGTCTCAAAATGAGATTTTGTTCATTTAACTTTTAGCTGGAAACCAAGCTTTTTTGAAATATAACATCTCGTTTTATTCAAAGCAATCTAAAGCCAATCTCAAAGCATTCCATTCGAGTTACAAAATGACACGATGAATAGGACTTATGAAACTATTGAAATATTTGCCAGGGCGGGATATCAAGTTTGACACCGCAGCAAGATCCTCAGCTTGGCGAGTTGTTAACTTGAAAAAAATGATGTACTTTCCTATGGAAAAATGTTTTTGAAAGGAGACTTGTCTTTGTCCCGCTGGTGCCTCGAGAAAGCTTCCCTTGTTGAAATGTTGGATTCTCCTTTCCTTAAAAAAGGCCTCAAGAGCCACGGTTTTAGCCTTTATTCAATTCGAGATTCGTAAAAAAAAAAAGAAAAACAAAGAATAAAAGATGTCCAATGCAATATTTCTTCAATTTCTCAAGCCATGAATCAAGCCACTCTTTAATGTAGAAAAGCTTGAATTCATAAATTTTATTCACGCGCTATTTTAGGGGTGGATCCAGGATTTTTCCAAGGGAAGGGGTTAGGCTGGAATTTTTAATGTCTTAAATGGCATTAGTGCACTTATTTTAGTTTTTTTTTATATTTTTTTCACAATTTTTTTCTTAGTGGGGGTTGGTGTTTGACCCCCTAACCCACCCCCGGTCCGTGCCTGTATTTACGTGTACCACGCCCAATTAGTCTATTTCATATATTACCTCAAAATGAAATGTATCAAAAATTCTTACACTAGTGCAAGCGTCAACAATTGCCCTGGGAATCAAAAGGGTTAAAAGCTTAATGAAAGTGTTTCTTTTTGAAAGCAGATTGAAAGGAGGGTCTTCCCCCTAAAAAACCCACGCCCGCTTGTCATTAGTCGTTTCTTCTGAAATGCTGTTACCAATCATCGTATTTTTCATTTTTTATCTCAGATAGTATAAGTTGCCCCGAGTTTTTCCAATGCAGGGAAACCAGAGAGTGTATTTTTTGGGATCAAGTTTGTGATGGAACTAAGCACTGCTTAATCGGCGATGACGAAACGAATTGTGGTAGGTACAGAGTTAAAGTTCGGGAAAAACGCAAATTGTTGGATTTTACCTAAAACGTAGTCATTAGCACCAAAATGGTTAAAAGATACAAAAGCTTTAAAGGGTTCATGAAGACCTCCGTGGACAAACTGCTAATGAATTGTTTAAATATTCACTAGTATGGAAATAACACGATGGGGATGTAAATATGGAAAAAAATTCCTTTCTTGTGGTTAATTTTACTTTTATTCCTAACAATTGATGGCGTTATTTGTGACGTACGTTTGAGAACCCCCAATTATATCCAGGCATCCTCTTGAGATGCCTCGAACGAAGAGGAGCATAAACATTGGACTTAAAGAATTTACTTGGCCGCAGAATGTTCGAACGTGTAGTACACTACACATGTCCACGTGTAAGACGTCCCTGCGCACGGGAAAAGCATATGCACGTGGTAGGCCATCGTGTGGGCAATTGCATAACATGTTGGTGTCATGGCGTACATAAATGGGACACCTGGACCCATACACACGACCATACAAAACGTTTTTGCTGGAAATGCGCACTGCACAGTTTGAAGCTCACTGTAGGTCCTGACCATTTGGCTGTGGTCAGCCTTTATACTTTTGATGTCCAAGTTCGTCTAAAGTTTGTTTCGGTTGGAAAGTGATGCAGGCTTACCCTATCTGTATAGGTGGCAACAATTTGGTTTGCATGATATCTAAAAGCATTCTCAAATATACGTCACGAATATGCAGATTTTCTATGTTACTATTTAGAGTGTCCTCTTTGGGCGGCCTTTTCGCTAATTATTTAATTGACAAAAAATTGAAGTGCAGTTTTCAGGTGCTGAGAAGTGCAAGAGCCTTTCAAATAACTCTTTGTGGTCAATTTGTGAAAATTGATCGTAGCGTTCTGGCGCAGGACCCATTTTCCCCAAACAGTTGAGCAAAAAAACCGTATTCACTGTGGTGCTCAATGCGCGCGAACAGGGGCATATGTAGCCTCGGACTTAAAATGACCGTAACAACAAACCCATGTTTGAGTTCAAACCGTTGAGGGGACAAAATACCCGCCAGGCTACTGGGTGGTACACAGTTTTTTCCAAAGTTCGACACTTAAGCAAATGCTGGCCGAAGACCTATCTGATTCATTTCCGGGCAGAAGCATCCGCGGAAATCCTCTTCTGCTAAATTATGTCAGTGCGTATGTTTTGTTTGTTTGTTTTCTCATTTTATCATCGCTAGATCTCTGTGGAGAGAATGAAATCCATCTGGAGGAGGATCTTCCCTACAATCTGACCTCTCCTAACTACCCCGACCGGTATCCCAACTACCTGAGCTGCCATTGGGAGTTTAGCGCTTCAAATGGATTCATTGTCATCAGCATCTTGGATTTCAAAACTGTGACATCGTCTGACTTCGTCACGGTAGTGGGGCCTGG